CCCAGGCGCTCTGCCTTCGAGCCGGCTGTCAGCAGCCAGGAGAAGCTGGACTTCAACAGGAACTTGAAAGAGGGTAAGAAAGGTTCCTTCGGGAACTCTCCCTTTGTGCCCCTTGGTGTTTTCCCAAAAATGGGAAAAATACCCATTGTGGGATGGGAAGAGCCATCCTGGACCATGGTGCAGAGCCTCACTTGTCCTCTCCCTGCTCTGCTGATCCTGGTCCCTGCGGTGTGGACAGTGATGCCAACCATTGAGAAGTTACTGTCCAGTGACTGGAAGGAGCGGCTGGGCAGGACCACTGCTGAGTGCAAGGAAGTGAAAGGTGAGGTGTCTCGAGCCACTCACATCCACCATCCTCCCTTCTGCTCCCTTCCTCGGCAGCCCGGGCTGGGAACGTGGTGTTTCCCACCTCAGCAGGAGGGGAGATGTGCCTGGAACGGGGTGTATTTAATAAGGATTTCTCCTTTTCTAACCAAAACATTAAGCTGACTTTTTTGGGGGTGAACATTCCTGATGAACACTTACCTCTGGCTGCACAGAGGAATCCTTATGCCCTCCCAAGCATTAGCCATGCCCTGACCATGCATTGCCCACCAGCACCCAATGGTGGTGATGATCCTAGAATCCCAAACTGGTTTGTGTTGAAGGGACCTTAAAGCTCATACACTTCCACGTGCAGGCACACCGTCCACTAGAGCAGGTCGCTCCAAGCCCCTGTGTCCAACCTGGCCTTGAACACTGCCAGGGATGGGGCAGCCACAGCTTCTCTGGGCACCCTGTGCCAGCGCCTCAGCACCCTCACAGGGAAGAGCTTCTGCCCAAGAGCTCATCTCAATCTCCCCTCTGGCAGGTTCAAGCCATTCCCCTTGTCCTGTCCCTACAGGCCCTTATCAAAACCCTCTCCAGGTTTCTTGTTGGCTCTATTAGGTACTGGAAGGCTGTTAAAAGGTCTCTCCGGAGCCTTCTCTTCCCCATGTTTGTGCAGGTGATGACTGAACAGCATCACCCTCCTGATCACGCAGCAGCATTGATGCTGTTCACCCTCCCCAAGGCCCTGACCACTTGGTTTCCCACAGGAACCCAGGAGAGCCTGGCGGAGAAGGAGCTTCAGTTGCTTGTCATGATCAACCAGCTCTCCACGCTGCGGGACCAGCTCCTGACGGCCCACTCGGAGCAGAAGAACATGGCCACGATGCTCTTCGAGAAGCAGCAGCAGCAGATGGAGCTGGCGAGGCAGCAGCAGGAGCAGGTGGGTGCCAGCAGGCAGCCTGGGGACCGTCCATCCCTTTGGGAACCCTTTGGGATTTGCTGGCTGTGGGTGCAGGACCAGGACAGGGTCCCCTGGGAGTGGTGGCTGCTTTGGTGTCAGGGGCAGCAACACTTCTCTGCCCAGAAACCCTCATCCCAAATATTGCCCATATCACTTCATGGTGCTGGGAGGACCAGGGGCAAAGGAGATGGGAATTGCACTCTTTAACGTAATAAAACCACACTGGGTTCTTCCTGCTCTCTTTGCTCTTTGAACACCTATGTCTCCTCTCTGGTGGCCCACACAGTGCTAAGGACAGGGGACATACA